AAGGGCTGCGAGAAATGATATTTGCCTTTATCTTTTGCGTTAACGGATTAATTATCTATTAATATGCACCAAACCTTTTTGCTGAACCCAGAATTGTTGTTTACTTTTACTTGAGAATTGTCAAAATCGGCAAATCCCAAGTAGNCCGAAACTGTCAAAGAAAAAAATTGCCAAAACCAACGCAATTTTTATCAACTTCAATCTTGCACTTTATTATGCTAAAATTAGTTTTGTTTTAGATTCTAATTAAAATGTTTGCAATTTAGGAGAAACCTTGCAGATTTTTTTTTAATTTTTGTACAAAGTTTGATCCAAAACCAGAGATCTACCACATTTTTTTTAGATTCTACCACACACATTTTTTTAAGTCCAATCACTGATTCCCATTGCCATGCCATTTCTTAAGATAAATTATCAATTTAAACATTGTTGTAAGCAGCGATATGTCTTATCGTGAATNCTTTACATCTTTCGACTATAGGCCAGTGCAATTTTCAAGAGAACAATTAAAATTTTATTGAAAACAGACACCTTTGAGATTAACCATTAGCTAAAGGGCTGCGAGAAATGATATTTGCCTTTATCTTTTGCGTTAACGGATTAATTATCTATTAATATGCACCAAACCTTTTTGCTGAACCCAGAATTGTTGTTTACTTTTACTTGAGAATTGTCAAAATCGGCAAATCCCAAGTAGCATTTCTGGAACGAGCCACATTTGTTCGCTACATCGTGATGTGAATAAAAAAAAAGCTGGCTGCAAGGTTACAGAAATCTTTCAAAATATGTTCGAAACTGTCAAAGAAAAAAATTGCCAAAACCAACGCAATTTTTATCAACTTCAATCTTGCACTTTATTATGCTAAAATTAGTTTTGTTTTAGATTCTAATTAAAATGTTTGCAATTTAGGAGAAACCTTGCAGATTTTTTTTTAATTTTTGTACAAAGTTTGATCCAAAACCAGAGATCTACCACATTTTTTTTAGATTCTACCACACACATTTTTTTAAGTCCAATCACTGATTCCCATTGCCATGCCATTTCTTAAGATAAATTATCAATTTAAACATTGTTGTAAGCAGCGATATGTCTTATCGTGAATCACATACACATATACATACGCATTTTTCACCGGGTAAACAGAAATAAGGTTACGAGCAAGTATACCTGTGCGTCACCCGCGCGGTTTTTGACCTTAAGCCCAGGTTTTGAGGGTGTATTTAAAATTCTGAGTATGCAGATTTTACTGCTTGAATAGACATACAACAAGTGTGAACCTCGAAAAAACTATATACATTTTTTTTTGTCACACAGTGTAATTTAGATCGTCTTTAATAATCTGTATATCGTCGTTTAAGGTACAAAACCGCGTATCAACAAAATGCAAAGCCGCCTATGTGAGGTTGCATAAATTATTATCTAGATAGTAAAAACACTCATATTTCAAAATAGTTCTCTTTTTTATAAAGCAATCGCATTTCTGGAAAGTATATATCAAGACGAATGGATAAGGATTGAGCCAACAGCTTCTGTAAGCAAATTCAATTTTTGGCAGCAAATGTCAGTTGCGATTTTGCAGAATGACGGTACGCGGTTTTGTACTTTATACGACGATATGCATGTATGAATATGTGTATAGCCAGCAAAAACTGCGGAAAGAGATCCGAAAACTGAAAGAAAGGTGAATAGTAAAGTGCCACGAAGGGTTGTGAAACGAATACTTTTCCGGTTGGTTTTCTGAAATTTTTCATTCTGAACTTCAAATATGCTTTTTCATAGTTAATTATACTCAGAAATTAATTATACTTTTAATATGTTCGTTGTGTGTTAAAATTATTGTTTTCAAATAACGTGATATTTTTTGGTAGTTTTCGGATACAAATATTATATTAAATATTAAAATTTTACCAAAATTGGAAAATACAAAGGTTCACCAGCACGAAATGGCAATACCGCTCAACAATATTTGTATATTTGTCACAGTCATCAAGTGGCAAATCAGATATTTGGTCATTTGCGTAATTTTTATTTGGCTTATGTAGCAGCATTGCGTTCACACGATTTGGCCACCAGGGTTGTTTTTCATTTGCCACAAGAAGGCAAATATTTGGCTTTTCTGATAAATGACAAATGTAATTTAGCGTTCACATGATTTGTCTATGAATTTGATAAATTTTTAGCCAAATGTACAAATCGTGTGATCCCAGCTTAAGTCTTGCGATGTGTTGTACCGTTGATCGGTAACGAATACATACGGTTTGCTACAGCTCTAATCTTTAGACAGCTCTTTATGGAAAGCTTCTAAAAACATAATAGATATTCGTGTTGAAGTGTAATTGAGCCAGTGAAGGCACGAATTGGACACACACAGTTTATTTTGTTATATGTATCTTTATTTGTTCGAATTGTCTTTGAAATGCATTATTGGCAAGTTATTTACTGGGATTTGATAAGTTATATATATTTATAAGGTATACAAATGGGGAATCCAATTCCACAATGCCCGGGATTAGGGTGTAAAAACCTTGCATAGAATCAAGGTTAAAGGCTTTTAGAACCTAAAATATAGATGCTGCCGCGATCTAATCTTTACGCTTTCTCTTGTATAAGTACGTAAATCAGTTCCGATCAAAACAAATACCAAGAGAAAACCTTTCCTGATAGTTTTTATGAACGCGCTCGAGTAAGAGCTTTCTCTGTCAGTGACTTACATACAATGGTGGTGGTATTTATGATCTTTGTTTTTTTCTTTAAACGCGTAAGCACTGAAAGCATTTCGGGACTTTACTTATTTTGTAGGCAAGATATTGTTTAATTTGACGAGAGCATGCCCAATGCCTTTTAATAATAATAAAATAAGACGGAAAAACTATTTACAAAAATATTTATCCTCAAATCGTTGGCAGTAATCGCAAATAAGTTGGCAGCAACGTCCATTGTTAAAACGGCAGCGACACTTTTCCACTTGCTTAAAAACATGAGTCGTGTATCCGCGTCCACAGCATAGATTTGCGCAGTTGTCCGGATGCAGACACTGACGATCCTTGGTTACCGAGCAATAAGTCGGCGATGTTTCCAAATAATACAAAGTGGTGTATTGCGATTTCTAAAACGAAAAAAATTTATTACATATATACATAAAATAAATATATATCGAAAAACTTTTGTCGAGTCGATTCTCACTTTTCCTATTTTCTGTTTTCGCCGTTTTAACCGATTTATGGGTGCATCTCGACGTATTGTGCGTGAGTTCGGAGCCTTTCTGATTGCCTGATCGTACTTCTGTCGCAGAAGTGTTGACGTTGAATTGAATTCAGATAACTTTTTCCAGCAAGTTTTCATTGAACAAGAACCAGAAACTCCATGACATTTGCACTTATCCTTTATTAGCGTTGATACTGCGTCTATGCCCACCTAAATATCAAAAACAAGCAATGTAGATATATGTTAATATGTATATATACTTATTTGGGTTCCAAAAAGAGTAAGGAAATCCATTGTTTAGTCATGCCTTACAACATCATAGTTTATGACTTCATATACGTAAAATCAAAAGTATGACCGCCTTATTTTCAATTAACTTGACCTAACAATGTTTTGCGCCCGATTGCACTAATGACAACAAACTTTTCTTTACATTTCTATTTGTATTCCTTTTATAACTTTTCACGACTTTTATTTCTTCTTTTTATACATTCTAGAGTACCAGAATGTGCTGGCCGCTGTGGCTGAGGGGTGAGGGGTGCGTACTATCACTCCGTATAACGTGGTTCGATCTTTATCTAACTATTTGAACGATCTACACTAGGGATGTGCAGATTTTTTGCTCTTAAAGCAGACAAAGAGCCAGCAAGTACCACGCAAGGTGTAAATCAGTTCTCAGGGTAAAGGAGGTGTAAAAAATACATTAAAATAATCATATATATTAGTAATGAAAGTCCGAGTACAAGAAATTTTAATACGCTTTCCTTCCCCTTCATTCTGGCTATTTATGCTACCCCTCATATAGCACCCAAATGTGCCAAGCCGGTTCCTAAGTGCAAAAGGCTCCTGGGACCCACTTTGCCCATCTCTGATCTAGACGGCCGTAGTCAGTTAGACAAAATTTGAGGGAAATGTAAAAAATTGTTCGCATTCGATAGAGAACTCTCCGAATAACATTTCCCAGTCCCTCCCGCTTTTCTTACTTGCACAGCGAAAGTTCATCGTTCACCAGAAACAGAGTATTCTAACGCTGCTTATAAATGAATTTTCGCTTTCTCGAAAAATCCTGCCGGTTTTAATTTAATATTTTGCTTTCTGTATTGTGGTATTAAAGTGTAGTGATAGATCCGCACACAGAAGGTAGCAATGCAATTAAGTGTTAATTTTTTTTAGTCATTTTACTAAGCAAAAGTTATATTTAAGTGCAACGAAAAAAGCGATTTTCAACGATTATCTCTTTGGAATTTTTGTCGAATATTGAGGAATTTTTTTGTATTCCCGGGAAATATCTCGTATTAATTCTTTTTGCAGTTGAGAGCCTAGAAATTTAGGTAATACAGAGTGAAACAATTGCCCACAGAAAAGGGCAAATACGAGATATTTTCTTTACAAAGAAAATGTATTAAAGAAAAATCTAAAAAATGCAACTTGTATATAGATCACTACTTAGAGCTATTTCATGACAAAAATTCAACTTTTTAGATGAATGTGAGGCCGCTGATCCATTTAATTTTTCAAAACATAGTTTTAAAGATATAAGCAAAAGTCATGTTTTCTAGTACCTTTCGATCCTGTTGCTATAAATCTCCGGGAATGTAAGGCGAATCCAAGTTTATTGTGTATTGCGGAATAAACAATTTGTCGATGTTTTTGCAAACCGCCCATCGACGATTTGCAAAACCGCCCAAATCTGCGTTGTGGCAAAAATGAGATTTGGTAACCCTGAACTCCAGTCATAGAGATTTATGCGTCAAATTTGGAATAATAGCTAGAGAAAATACCGCGTAGCAAGGCAACGCCTTCAAAGGAAACCCGTTTTTTCGCTCTCCTGTATAATTTGAGTATCGTAAGATAGGAGGTTTTGAAATTGGTCGATGGGCGGTTTTGCAAAAACATCGACGATTTGTTTTCCTTTACATTAGTGTTATACGAGCGTTTAAATTTATGTAGATAAATGTAAAATTTTCATAGAAACTAATATTTTTCAAAGTAGTTTCGTACTATTCCCCCTAATGTATGGCACAAAAAAACAGAAAAGAAAAATCCAAAGCCATCACAAAAAATTTGACGACTAATAATCTGAGATTACAGATAGCTAGAACAACAGAATCGACCCAATTTATGGAAAGCTGCAGAAGGAGCGGCTTAACCCCAAACTTCATCAATAATGCTACCAAAAATATTGTCTATACAATCAACAACAATATCAGCAATAACAAGATGTCAACTACTATCTCCAACTCTGTGTCTGCGTTTGTACAAAAGGTACAAAGCAAACTACTGAACCTCCTCATTAGTATAAAACACGAGCTACTTCGACAAAAAGGAGAAGAGGTAAAATCACTAAAAGTACATATTAAACAACAATTAAGTATGCGGGATTATAATGTATTTTTTGAAGGTGAAGAAAGAATAATTAATACACTCACTACAACTATTAAGAAAACACAAGCTAGCAAGTATGAAAAATTAAGAGAGAAACAAAAACAATTACTCAACACTAGGGCTGTCCTATCTTTAGGACCGAAATTCGCCTTACCTATATCCAATAAAGAGTTTCCACTATTTAAGATTATAGCAGATGGGGAGAACTGCATACAGACGATTAAAGATAAAGAAAAATAGGAAATTGAAAGGCACAACTTAACGACTCTAATACGCGATTACATAAATAAGACGACATATACAATTAGAGACAAGTTTATTCATAATACCCTTCATTCTGCTAAGACGTTTCTGAAAAACCATGACCAAATTTTAATCCTCAATGCTGACAAAGGGAACGTAATTGTAGCGATGAACAAATCAGAATACGACATGAAGATGCAGAAAATTGTAAATGGCATCTCAACATATAGGGTTTTAAAACGTGACCCTACAAATAAGCTACAAGGGAAAAATAATGAAATAGTAGAGAACATGTATGCTAACAAAATCATTGATTTAAAGGAAAAGAACTACCTCACCAGCAAAACGACTAATCCCCCTCCAATTTACGGATTACCGAAAATCCATAAAGAAGGAGTTCCCCTGAGACCTATATGTTCGTCCATCAATTCACCGTCTTACAACTTGTGCAAATATATTGTCCGCGTACTCAAAAATATAAAAATGTCCTCAAAGTATAACGTTAAAGATGCGATAGAGTTCAAAAACAAGACTGGAAATACCTATATTTATGACAATGAAAGTTTGGTGTCTTTTGATGTCGTCTCGTTCTTCCCGAGCATCCCCGTGGACATAGCAATAGATCACAGATTTGAAATGGAGTTTGATACAAGAGCATACGTCATTAACTAGAGAGCTTTTCTTATCCATATTAAAATACTTCATTAAAGAGAACCGCTACTTCAAATACAATGATAAGATTTATGAGCAGAAGTCAGGAATGCCTATGGGTTCACCTGCTTCACCTGTCATAGCGGATATAGTTATGGAAGAACTTTTAAATAAATTCGAAAAAGAGTCCAACAGAAAACCACGGCTACTTACCAAATATGTTGATGATTTATTTGCGATTGTAAAAACGGAAAATATAGACAAGATGCTCAACTCTTTAAACAATAATAAATAAATAACACAAACGGCAATAACGCAAAATTTGCTTAACAGTAAAACCCGCTTAAGTACCTCACGAAAAATTTCAGCTTTTTGAGGTACTTAGGCGGGTTGGGTACTTAAAAGAACCCGCTTAAGTACCTCGATGCGGGTACTTAAGCGAACATAACTACTGACGTAGTTACATCTTCTTGTTAACTTACATAAATACTTGAATAACAATATTTAATGAAGTATACATAGTTTAAAACCAAAATCGTAGCATTAGTTAAACACATAAACAAGTTAAGAAAAACTTGATTTAAAAAATATTTAGTGCAATGGTATGTAATTTTTACAAGGATTAAATTGTTTAAAACGTCACAGTTGGACATATCATTTTGTAACAAATTCAAAATGATATTATTTGCCATTTATGTTTATTTATTAATTTTTAAGGTTTTTCAATCAATTAAAATGCAGTTCATTCCCTAACAAATACCATATAAACATAAGCTTAAGATTTTGTATAACACTTAAAAAAAATCATCATAATTTCAAACTTTTTTCTCAGAAGTGATTTTTGAGTATACAGTTTCATAGCCCATTAAATTTTATTTTAATAATGTGCAAGTTTCAAGTGGCTAAAAGTTACCGTTGATTTTTTAGAATTTTTTTACCGCTGCTACTGAATTTCAAAATATGTAAATATTTTAAGGAATTTTAAAAGAGCACTTAAAAGGGGAAAATTATAAGTAAAATTGTACTTAAGCGGGTTTCACTGTATTTCACTTTTAAATGGGAAATAAAACCAAATCTGAGTTTTGCTTTATTTCCAACAAAGGTTGGAAATAAAGCAAATTTTGCCTTATTTCCCATTGTTTATTTATACCAAATATTTGTAAAAAACAGTTTACTGACTTGTTTATTCCAAAAATACAATTAAACCAAGGCACATTGAACAGGTAGTANCTTAAGCGGGTTTCACTGTATTTCACTTTTAAATGGGAAATAAAACCAAATCTGAGTTTTGCTTTATTTCCAACAAAGGTTGGAAATAAAGCAAATTTTGCCTTATTTCCCATTGTTTATTTATACCAAATATTTGTAAAAAACAGTTTACTGACTTGTTTATTCCAAAAATACAATTAAACCAAGGCACATTGAACAGGTAGTATCAGTACAGAAGCTGATTTGAGTTTTTTCAAATTATTTGTCCTCGAAAATGTCAAATATTTTTAATTTCTTCTCACAAAAATTCTAAGTTGTTAAAATCTGGCTGACTTCCAAAACGTCAATTGCTTTGCATACGTACAAAGTATGATGTTCCATAACGCCGAACTACCAAATGTTGACGATGTATACTTTTCCAAAACGCATCCGAAAATTTATCGAAACGCATCGCTAGCGCAATCAGCGCATCAGAAACAAAGTTGATGCTTCGTTAGTTATTGGTTACCATTGGTGTTTTAAAAATGGAAAATTCAGAAAAATTGTTCATTGCTATATTGAGTATTTAAAATATGCAATGTATATGGTTGCAATGTGTCGCAACTCTGCATATACAAACAGTTTGAATACCGCAGTATAACAGTTTCCAAAAAATGTATTGATACGTTTTGGAAGTCAGCCTCTATTTACATGTGAAACCTTTTTCCATACAAAACCAGCGATTGAATAACAGCTTTTGGAACGCTCGCCCAACTCAGCAGCACAACCGCTGATTACTGGGCCTGGCACAGGATGGTTCAATGCTTCGAGAAGCAAACCAATTTA